ATTGAGCTACGCTATTGTCATCGAAATTTGAATGTATGTACATGGCGTGACCGCCGAGTGTATCGCATTATTTTCAGAGCGTGGCGCTGGTTATCCCATGACAACGGCACGCATACGCGCAGAAATTGAAGACAGGCCAGTGCCGGTGCTAGTAGCCCATGTCGTGCGGGCTTGTGACAAGGATCGAACTTGAATTACTAAGCGCCCGCTATGCATGGGCGTTACCAACTGTCAATGGCGTCCGAATCCCCACACTCATGTCAGAGTTCCAATAAGCAAGATCGCCTGACACTGAGTGCAATGTATCACACACCAGTATGGCATATCGTACTTATCCCTTCCGAGTCCTTTCAGCATCGAAGCACTCGTACGGGATGTGCTGGACATGCGAATAACATATTTATTTCTGAGAGACTACAATCACGCTCTTCCCCTTTATCTGGCCCGTCAACATATCCAAAATCGTCTCCCCTACATTCTCCAGCCCGAGCCGGCGGTCCTCAAAATACTTGATCTCCCCGCGCGCGACCGCTGGCGGGATCTCGCGGTAGAAGTTCGCAAGGTGCTTCGTTTGTAGAGATGACGAAAGGAAGCCAAGGATCTGGAGCTCCTTGACCACGATGAGCATCAAGTTTTTCACGGGGTACGGTGTCTCCTTGTTGTACCCAGAGACCATTCCACACTCGATGAAGCGCCCCCCTATAGCGGCGGCGTTGATCGCAGCCTCGAGGGTCTCTCCGCCGACGTTGTCCCAGTATCTATAAGCGCCACCGTTAGCCTCTCCCTGTGCGACACAACAAAAGCACTACAACACACATGTCAGTGGGGCCCTCGCGCTGGAGCACGTCAGCAATCTGTTCCTTCTTGTAATTGAACGCGACGTCCGCGCCGAGCGACTTAACGAACTCGACCTTCTCATCAGAACCGGCAGAAGCAATCACCTTGAGGCCGTCCTGCTTGGCGAGCTGGATGACCGTCGCTTCTACTGGACCTAGACGTGTGTGTGGATAGGCATCTCGTATGACTGAGCAGGGGGAGATCGCGAACCTGCGCCAGAACTAACGAAGGCGACTTTGCCCTTTGGTGCATGCGCGAACTCCCTCCACCCATGGTGTGCTGTCTGGCCTGCCAATGGCCATGAGCACATAAGAGAAAGTTAGCGCTTTGACGACTACATACCAGGCATACCACATACTCCGACGTAGACGGACCACGGCAGATTCTGCTTGTTCTCCAGAACTTGAAATAGGCTGGTGTCGGTAGCAACAAAGTACTCCTGGAAGACTGAAATCCCTTGTCAATACAATCACCTAGAACGCGCAGGGGTGAGAGGCGTACGGATGTCGCCCGAATAGACATGATCGCCGGGCTTGAAGGCAGAGTCTTCGGAACGCAGGACGACACCAACGCCAAAGTTCGAGATGCTGCGAGGATGGGCGTCAGTAATGCAGAGGGATGCGTGTTGGAGACAATAGGCGAGATGTGATGCTGCAATTTTATTGCCACTGGAGGCAGCACTGGGCGGAATGTGGCGCTTTTGCGGAGTTAGTACCTCTGGCTCTCGCCTTTTTTCTGTGTTCATTTGCTAGTTATCTACTATGAGGTTGCTGGTTGAAGTCGTCGCCATGACATCATGGCAATGTGATTTCGCTAAGCCGGACCAATTGTCCTTCAAGATGGGTCACCCGAGCCGAACGTACTCCATAGCTCAAAGCTCCCATGGACAGAGCAATGGTCGGCAGAAACGCCAGCGGAACGAGTTGGATGAAAAGACACTCACGGTTGTCCTATAACGTACTGAAGGTCGAATCTTAGCCCAATAAAGACAAACAATATTCAGAGAACATACCAATAGGTTCATCTTCCTCAGGATGAGAGGTTCGATGGAAACGACAAGCGTCTTCACGAGGAAACCGCCGTTCAGGGGTACCATATCCGGGTCGATCGTCTGAGAGCCATCGTATACCGTCGTCCGTCCAGGCACGGGGTGGTCTGTGGGGGTCTCGTTGAATAGAACACGGCCGTTCTTAATCGGTGGCATTTCGAGTTTGCGGTGCGTTTTAGGCAAGCTCTGAGCTAGTAGGTGAAATGGGCGGTGGTTAGCAGGCAACATACCTCAGGCTTTAGAAAATGAGCGAGAGACGGCTGAGAATCACGACAAAGCTGTCTGGCCCCGCACGTCCGACCGAGCGCGCAGCATTTGGTCTTAGATTGCCAGCGCTTGCCATCAGCTGCACGTAGCAGCATCCTTAGTTTGATTGTGAGGAATCAGCATTTTCTCGGGCCTCCATGAGCTTATGCCTCACGCTGCTCTGTCTATTGTTCCAGACTTTCTTGAATGTCATGCACGCTGCCCCAGTCTCAATAGGTCACCGCCGCCAATACCGCCCGCAACAAGCCAACGATAATCAGCGCAGGGAACATTTGACAGTGACCATCCCCTCGCAGTCAGCGGTAGAGTTCGTCGTCACGCAGGTCTACATCAGCCCCACTCCCGCCTCCGCCTCCGTCAGCCCCACCTGTGCGACTAGCACCCCGCCCACTCGCCACTTACTCTTCGGGCTTCCCCTCGTGGTCCGAGTAAGCTCCTCTGCGCTGAATGAAAGAGGACCACATGAGGAGGTCCCACGCAATGCAGCCATGTTTATCTCCGTTATGAAACCGAGATCGCAGAGCGCAGTTCCAAAATCAACAGATGCTTGCGTTCGTAGGCAAAACCGATCCTATGTCCACAGGGAGTGGCAGAGGTGACAGCAGCCACGCATGGACAGACCATGGTATTAGTACCGTGCTCTCCGCGGCAATGAGCAGAGCCGAACGCAGCAAGAATCAAGTTGATACGTCGAAAGATATTCATGTTCTCAGCTCGAGGAGCTAAGAGCGGTGCAAGGCGCGAAATCATAGTCTGTTTCAATTTCGGGGAGTCCAGACAGTAGGTGCGTTCAAAGTTGCCGCTCAAACGTCGCTGAAAAGAAAGCGACTTTTCGCTGCGCCTAGATATGGCTGAAGGTCGCTGAAAGGGTCACAGATGACTAAGCGTGATGCAGCCGTGATTTGATCACGTTCTTGGCTCGCGCCAGTGTTGGGCCAGTCGTCTGCCAGTCGTCCCAGTCGTTCCCACGACTGGGGCGATTAATCTACGACTGTACGACAGTCGAAAAGTCGCGGCGACTTTTCCCACGGCTTGCGCAGACACGGCCCGATATTCACGTGCGCAATTCTGGTACGCAGGCGCCCGAAGAGTCCCAAAGAGGCATCGGATCAAGGGATGAGGGGGCCCAATGACTTTACTTGGCTGCCTCTCTCTGTCATTGAGAGATCTGTTCGACTTCACTGCAAGGATGGAAAAGAGGGTTGGACATATTTGCAGGATGAAGTTGAGTTGTATGAGCTTCTCGACTTCTCATCTTCAATGCAGAAGATAGTATTGACTGAGTGCTGAGTCTCTGCCAATAGGATATACATGTATTTTCATTTACATATCTTGCTAACATCACATCCTGTTATGTACATTATTTTGTGGCCAAATCTCCCTCCATTCCCGCATGCGTGAGTAGATAATGTCATCCGAGAACACAAATCAGTCAAATCAGATAAGAATCTTGTCACAACTTGAGGTCAAGCGACTACTGGAGAAAACTTAAAGGCTGGGGGCGTCCGACTGATTCTCACCGAAGCAATGGTGAGCAACGCTCAAACCTAAAGCTAGGGACAAGATAAGTTAGCATTGGTAAGTAGGTAAGTAATACATGAGCTTACTGACCTAGGGACAAGAGGTCGATAATGAGGTCCCTAGGGCAGAAGAGGCAGGCTTATATACAGGGGAAGTTCAGGGGAGGCTGTGCGTGCTGGTCCGTGCGCAGCTGGTCCGTGCACAGCATGCCGACGTGGCCCCAGGGGCCGGTGAGTCAGAGTGGCTGTGTCAGCGGAGCCAGAGCTGTGCCGCGCACTGCCGTCCTATCTAATCTGATCGTACAGTAGATAACAACTTGTCCGTTCAAGCATATAGTACAGAGGTCGCGGGTTCGAGCCTGCGAAAAGGAAAAAATTAAAAAACGGCTAGGCGCCGTACCAACTCGTGACAAATCTTGCCCTAGCTTTTTTGCCCTGTGGCCCGCCCCGGCCCGCCATCTGGTCCATGTCGCATGCATTATCGGTCTAGATTTCCTTGGCATCAGGTCTCTTGCGCATAATCATCTGGACCTTCCGGTATTGAATTCTTATTCTGATCGCTGAACATTCCTGTTCTGCACACCGCGCAATCCTATCATGAATAGAGTGCATTCCTGTCCACACAATTACGAACAGCTCACCCCCTCCATTGTATATCATGCCAGCTGGACCATTCAACTCCTTTAAGTGGCCTGTGGCCATTAAAAATCCCAATTTGGCCACTCAGGATCCTGCATTGACCCCATTCTATTTCACTTGCAGGTTTCCTACCTCGATCATCAGAGATATATACTACTAGACATCATAAATGATTGATCTTTGTGTGATCCTTGTATGATTCTAGTCACATACTTGCTGTTGTCCTTTTCATGGCCACTAAATGTATTTCTCACACTCCTGCACCATCAATGCATTACCACTGGTCAGAACATGCAAAAAGTGCATCAAAGCGTGTTGGTTGCCTACGAGAGAAATTGCACATGACCTCAGGTGCCTGGACCTCGATCAAGTCCAGATCAAGATGCAATCTGGCCCAATCTATCAGCATTTCCGGTCAGTATCATAAAGCAATCCTGTCCGCACATTTATGAACCTCCTTTATACTACCTTCTGCTTTACAATTTCTTTTCCAGTGAGACCCTGCTACTTACCCATCACCTGAAAAAATGTTGCTATGGTCATGGCACAATTCTTCCCCTTTGGTGGCACTCCCCTCCTATTGCTTATGTAATCTGCTCTCTGCGTGCCCCCTGTCTTCCACTTTTCTTCTCTTCGAATTCAGTGCTTCAAGTCACCTATCACAATAAGGTATGAATAGTCAGCGCATACTGTATACTCGCATCATTGTACCCCGACACTGCAGACATTCACAACTATCCAGGTAAATCTTACTACATGCCTCGCATTGCCATTTGATGAGGTGTTTACAATTGTGCATATGTCATCTTTGATACTGGTTATACCATGCAAACTCATTCTATTTGTGCCAATAGCAACCCTCATTGCTCTCAAAATCTACATCCCTCAGTCAAAATCCATCAGACTTGTGCAAGCCTTAGGTATGTCTAGTCAACTCATTGATACTTCCCTCTAACAGCGATACTTCATCCAGACCATATGTGTCACGACTTGACACGGCGCCTAGCCGTTTTTTAATTTTTTCCTTTTCGCGGGCTTGAACCCGCGACCTCTGTACTACTTGCCCGATACGGACACATCATTATCTACTGTACGATCAGATTAGATAGGACGGCAGTGCACGGCACAGCTCGGACCCGCC